ACACAATGCCAGGGTTGAGCAATGGTCAGCTGAGTGCCACAAGTAGGAGTTTATAGGACAAGGGTACTAAAAGCATCCCCAGTCGGCCCTGTAAGTAACTGAGAATGGTTATATCATATTTAATTATCTGGAAGAGGAGAGTGAACTGGAGGCTTGGGGAGGGTAACTGGAAACAGATCCACATGGTAAGCAGGAGTTGCACGTTCAAGTCCCACTCTGGGAAGATTATTTTCTTCCAGAATATTCTAAATTATTTAATAAATATTAATTTAATTATAATTATTATATTTAATAAGAGATGGTGCCTAATGCCTCCCTCTAGTGACAAATTATGTAGTAATTAATTAAATATAATTGTGGAAAAGTAGCACAATGTAATCCAGTGGTTGTTGGACTTTACAAATTTATCAGGCTTTGTAAGGTTTGTGTATGAACCACGAATCCATGAGCAGCTCAATAAAATTTGTTTCATCTCCGACAAAATTCCATTAAATGTAGTCTGATTTACTTACCCCATTTAATGTGATCAGTTGGTTACTATTATTAGTTTTGGCAAGTCCCAAAATGATTACATGACGCAAATTCTACTATAATACCATTAATTAAAAAAAATAACAATTTTACTTCCAAGTGAATCATGAAAATATAGACTTTCAATTATGCACCTACATACAAATACAATACATATAGCTTATATAAAATCTATAAATTTTTAAAACATAAACCTAAACTGTTTCAGACCATAAGTTCCCTTTCTCTAGAGCACTTCTATTGTAGATAAATCTTCTTTTATACTTGTGTATAAGAGAAGATTTTTATTCATTTTTCACTGCTTCAAAAACCTAGGTTATCCTATAAGTGCGAGCAAAAGATTCTTTGCGTTTTTGCAATAATTTTTGTGAACAGTGTATTTGCATTGTTTTAATGGATGCTCAGATGCTCACCCTCTGTTGTTTAAAAACAAAACGATTTTATCTAGGTCGTTTGAATCATTCTTGTGTATTGTCAGGAGTATAGATAAATAGCAATAGGAAAAGCAAAGTTTTTGAATTGAATTTTGAATTGAAATTCAATTCAAAAACTTTGCTTTTCCTATTGCTATCCTGTGTGCTTTGCAGCACACAGGAGCCTAATATAAGTTTTAATCAATTCCCATGTAAAAACAGATGATTATTCAGAGAAACTCATAAGTGTGGATTCAACAGAGTGAATTCAACTGTTTAGAATTGGCAAAAAAGTTCTCGATTGTCCAGCTTTACATGAACAAATTACGTTGTCAATTTTACATGATTTTTGCTTAAAGTTTAAAATGCCAGTAATTTTTGAGGGACAATGTGTGTGTTTATGTGCATTTGATAATATTTTATTTGTGATTAAACAAAATAAAATTAAAACTGTATTAATAAATCTAATTTTCTTTATTTTGAACTTTAAATTCACACCTCATCCTATGTGTGAGATCATTTTATATGCAAGTAAATACAGTATTTAATAATTTAGTGTTTATTTGAAATTTTACCCTAGAAACTACAAAAATATATTTTTAAACCAAAACATATAATTTTCTTATTAAAAATATGAAATTACTATGTTATGATTACACATATTCAGTTTTAAAATAAATCATTCTTTTAATATTTAAAACTAATAAACTTTATACAAATAACTGACAACTCAAATCAATCAAGTAATCAAAACTTTTGCTAAAATTATGTATTTATTAGTACTATAATTTCCTAAAAATAAATCCACAGATTATCTGCACTAAAAATGTCAATTTGAAAGCAGGTGCAGGTTATCTATCAACTTTAAATTGCAATTATATACTCACTCAGCTTTTCTTTTGTCTAAACTTACAAAGACTATCATTAAAAATCCCTTATGTACTGTACTACACATATTCATATGTATCACAATTTTCTGGAAACCATCAAAGAAACGTACGCCTCTTTTAATACTCACCCTACTTGTTACATCAATCACATTTTACTTGATATTGTTAGATTTCTACTTAAACTAAGTGTGAAAACTGATAAATTTTCAGTAATTCACTTTTCTACATAATGACTTTCAAAGAATCATTGGAATCTGAGTGTCAATTTTACAGTGAAACATGTTAATTCTTTGTAGTAAATAGAAACTAAGTAATCAACTCTTAAACTTGCATCATTGAATGGATATTACAGAGCCTATGTACAACTTTCATCGTAAAATCAACAGTGATGACATTAACAATCAATTACTTTATTTACTGTTTATTTACTTAAACTTATATCTGTTAGTGTAATCATTCCTGCAACAGCAACATTGACCATGCTTCCATTCCAAACTCATCTTGATATTACCCACATTAAAATCTTGTTTTTATTTAATTTTTGTCAAACTTATTTTAGCATTTATTATTATTACATATTTATTCAATCCAACTAAAGATTAACTTTTTTCAGGATATTTTTCATGAATCATAAATTGAGTCAGTCTTGTTAATGATTAAGACACAACTCAATAATTACAATGTAGACTATAAACTCTTACTCTTTTGTTGTTATAAAATAAATTTTGAATATTAAAATAATTAAATACATTTAAATGCTATCCCTAGCTTTGCTGTATACATCAAGACCTCACTTAATGTATTAATATTTAGTATTATTCTGGAGATTGTGTTTGAAACCCGCAGAATTTGTTTCACACTGCATAGAATTTATTTTATTGTTTATGACAAAAATTCAAAGCTGGTAATTCTAAATGATTACAAATTTTCCTCAATGTTATAACGAATCAACATCAAGTGAGGACTTGTAATATTTTCTTGTGTAAACATAGTAGCATTACTTTCTGCCATGAAATCAAAACAAACAATGATGTCATTACTAGTTTGGTTTATTTGCTTCACTTTTTAAAATCTGTAGTGTAGATATCCATTTTATATTCATCCATTAAAGTAACATGTGTATAAAATTTAAATTATTATTGAAGACTAATCACTTTATCAAAACATTCACTTTTTTCAATAAACCAGAAATAATAGAAAGTTTAATATTTTCAGAATGTTCATCATTCCATCTTCAGACTACTGTCATTTATAATGAATGTTTGAATTTAAATGTTTCAAAACAGTTATTTCACACAAGCAATAAAATTATGAACATCCAAAATGTTAATCTTTCTTTTATTTTCTGGCTTCTTAAAGCGTGTTTAGATACAGTGATTAGTAGAAAATATGGGACCATCATGTTTCCGGAATTACCATTAAATAAGTCTAAACTTAGAATAGTAGTAAAATAGACTTTTGTGTGGCATTTTTTAAAACAACAGTTTGAATGAAAGAAATAAAATTTCAGCATCTTATTGGAAGGTTTGACTATTACAATTACATACCATCATATTTTTACCATATAAGAAAGCTCATCTTTCACTGAACAGATATAATTATTGATAATATTTTTGATACTTAGCATCATTTAGGCAGTTCCATTTCACATAACTATAGTCTGTTTTCTCTGTTTCACTTTATAATTACATCTACAAATGAAGTGTTAATGGAAATAAAATGTTGTTGAGACAATACCTTCCAAACTGCATATGGATTAAGTGTCATATTTGGAGAAGTGGAATATACAGTATTAGCAAAAGTTTTATATTTGTTCTAACAATTTTCTGTAGAATATACACTGAAGTGGATTATAAACAAGAAATTATGGTACTTTTTTCATATAATTAAATTCAGATTTTCAATAAATACAGTAGTTCCTTCTTATATTACATGTCAGGAGACAGATCAAACAAGTAATATATCAGATGATATAACCAATGTGGACTATACACTTGATTTTGTCTATTTTAGATCTCCATGCAGACTTGCTTTTTTCATGGGTTGTTTTATACAGTTGTGATAGTTTCAAGATCAATGATTGGAACAGTTCTTTGCCAGTAAAAATTCAATGGCAACTAATTTTTTAAAAAATTATTGGTTAAAGCACTTTTATATTTGACAGAAAAAAGCAATATATCCAAATGATTGATCTAACAATGAACTACTGTAATTATATATTCATATTTACATTAAACATTTCTATTGTCAGACCTAGATATATTGATAATTCAACTAATCAACTTCATATTAGAAAGCCTCATAGTTGTAAATGAAAGCAAGCAATTATTTATTGTAACATTGTCACAATGCGGGGATGTAATTTTTAATCATATTTTTAATTTATTTAATTTAAAATATATGCTCTNGTCATCCTGCTGGTCTAATTTAAGCTTAAGTCCAAAAGGGTTGTTGTTCACAATCTGAAGAACGGTGTTCAGATCCGGCTTGGACTTCCAAATGATAAGAATGTCATCAACATAGCGCGTATAGAGAACGATTTCCGCGTTGAAGGACTGTAATACTTGGTTATCCAGTTTTCTTACAATTAATTCGCAGAGGTCTCCAGAGAGGGGGGCTACCCATAGGTACTCCCCTTTCTTGAAGATAGATTCGTTGGTTGAAGGCGAATTAAGAAGGCCTATTAAGAAGGCCGAAAACGTTTGTACTCCAGTTAATAAGGCTAGAAATTAGTGAGAAAGGTTTTGTGCCGTTAGTCTTGCCAATATTTGTTTTATTTTGTGAGAAAAGAGCAATGATATCTGTTTATTTTATCAATTTGATCTTTCTGAAGTAAAAGATGTATAATTTTTATTTGCTGGAATTTAAATTCATTTTAAAACTTTACAAAGTGTACAGTACCTTGTTTCTAAAACTTTTCCAATTATTTCTTATGATTAAAATTTGTATTTCATTCCAATATAACCAACACACACTACTCATGTTCATCAAATACATTACAATGCTACAAAACACACATTTACCTACCAACCAATCTAATTTTCTTTATTTTGATCTTTAAAGTCACACTTTGTCCTATATGCGAGATCATCTTATATGCGAGTAAATACAGTAATATTAATATACTAGTGAGAATAGATTAAAATTTATTTTTAACAGTTTTATAATAATAATAATTTAATTAATTAATTTTAACCTTAATTATTAATTTTATAATTATGATTACCTGCTTTGATTTTTTGGACATTGACGTTTTTATAAATTCTTCAACAAGTTCAGATCGTTTCCTCTTTGATCTAACCTTTCGATTTAACGCTGCATTTTTACTAGTAACAGCAGCATCTTTCTGCACATTTTTCACATTATCTGCTGGTGCTGAACAGTTTGAAGGCATGGTTAAATTATGTTCCTCTTTGAAATAATATGGACCAAATAAATCTCCTAAATTGCGATAGTGACTACCTTTTTGACATAATGCACAAACCCACGTTTTATCTTTTGTGAATGCATCATAAAGTGGAGATAATGTACTGGTATGTCCTACTCCCAACTTTTTATGTAAGTTATTTCCTGTATGAAAATCCCTCTTTTGTTTTTGATACTTTACATATTTTTCTTCTTCTTTAGGTGCTACATTTACAACAGTTATGGAAAGGGGTTTGTCTCTGGTCCCGACAACATGAACATGAGGTCCACTAAATCCTTTATTTTTTTTCTTTTGATCTGTTTCTTTTGTATCAACAACTTCACCCTTTTTTCGTTTCTTTTTATCTGACTTATCGCTTTGAGATTTAGGTTTATTCTTACTTCCAAATGGACGACCTCGTTTTTTCTTTGGAGGACTATCAGAACTTCGAGAACGAGATGGAGTATGATCATCATTTGTTGTATCTGAAGATTCCTTTATTGTAAACTTTTCTTTGGAAGTATTTTTGGATTTTTTATTTAATTTTGATTCATCAGATGGTGTATTTTCACTTAAAGGGATAATTAATGATTCAGATGTTGCTTTTAATGGAGCAGAAGTATTTACAATACTAGATTCTTTTGACATGCTTTCATCAGATCTTTCATCAGATGGGGAAGGTCCGACATATAAATCTGGATGTTTCCAACTTTCTTTTTTTTCCTCTTTTCCCAAGAAATTACTAATTCCAAAATCTCCAAATTTTTGTGTTGCTAATGGTATTTTATTATCATGTATTTTATTTGTGCAGTTTTCAGAACTCTCTTTCTCATCACTACTATCACTGTCATTTTTTTCATTCCCATCATTAGACACTTCTGTATTTAAATTTTCAGATAATTCTATAGTTTTATGAATATTTTTGATATCTTTCCTTATCCATATTAAATTACACTGTGTACTTGTTCGTTGAGATGAAAGTCCCGCTAAAGAATTTTGCTTGGAAAAAACTAAAGTATTTTCCTCTGATAAATGTTCCTTTTCTTCTATATCATGACTATCATCACAGGATTCATTATTATTCCATTTTGGTGATGCACAGTTCAGGGTATTTTGTAAATAACTGTCATTATCACCACAATTAGAAGCAGGTCCATTTGAAACAGATATTTCTTGTATAACTAAATTTCTTTTATTAGATAAAATAGTTTTACTTTTTAATTGTTTTTCAACAACAGTCTCTTGTGGTGAATTACAAAAATCTGAATCATCATCATCATCATTGCTTATTTTTTTATTCTTGAATGAAGTAATTGCTGTAGGCTTGATTTCATTTGTGGAACAATCTTCTCCTACTGAAAATTTTTTATTCCAATTTATGCAGTTTTCTTTAGAATCGGAAATTTCAATTTTTTTCTGAATTAATTTATCTTTTGAATCTTGCAAAGAATTTGATGTTGTTTCATCAACATCAATTTCCTGTTCTCCATTTATGATTTTATCTTTTGAAACTGAATTGAGTTTTTCACTATTTACTTCTGCACTAGATGTATGCTTAACTTCTCCATTTTGTTGATTAACAATTATATTTTCAGTACAGGATGAAGTTCTAGAGTCATTACTAGTAGAACTATTTGATACAGAATCAGGAGCAGATGAATATGTGGGCGTTGCAGGTGTTGACATACGTGCACTTGATGGAGTACAGAGTCGATTTTGATCTAAGTTATAGTAAGTTGGATATGGTGATCCTGGATTACTTCCAGCTAATTGTTCAACTGAAGAGAAATAACACCTAGTTGTTTGAGGATTATTGTGAGAATTTGGTACTTCATAATTAACTCTTGTCATTGGAGATTCATTTGTATCAGTTTCTAACATAACCATTTTTTGCAATGACTGTAAAGGATCAGATCCTGACTGATTTATAGTCTGACAATTACTACTTGATGGAGACGCAACCTTTACTTGTGATGTTTGATGTGAAGTAGCAGATGTTGAAGCATGATGAGGAGAAGGAGTTGTTGGAGGTGGAGAAAAAGGCTGATTATGTCCTGGTGATCTTGCATGATTTGGAAGAGGAGATGGTGTAGCACGTGGAGAATGAAGCAAACTTGGGCTTGGTATTTGAGTTTGAGACCAGGAATGAGGAGATTGATTAGGGGAGGTTCCAACAGGCAAAGACCGATAATGATGATGAGTTGGTACAAGAGATGAAGTTGCTGTACTGCTAACAACCCCATGTGGAGGTGAACGCAAAGATGGAGGAGGCATATGTGGGGAATTAACAAGCATTGTTGGACGTGGAGAAGACTGACTAAAATTCTGTATTAAATCACTATTTCCACTGTTTCCACTATCTACCCAAGCTGTTTTTACTTGCTGTACATTACGATTTCCATTGCTGAACATGTTACGGCGATTGCTGTATATATCTTGAGTTTGAGTCCCAAAATGTGCTTGTGGTGCTGAAGCATATGGTCCCAACTGATGACCAGTGCCATATACCATACCTGAGTGCATCTGATGATTCCCGTGACTGTTATATTGATGAGTATGAGCTTGTGGAGATATTGGATGAGGACGATATGGAGACGAAGGCTGATAGGATGGATAACTATTAGAATGGCAATGAGAGTTCTGCAAAATTACAAAATATTTTAAGATTTACAAATTGAAAATATTTATTAATGACATAATATTTTATTTACCATTTGGTTTTCATATTGTCGTTCAGAATAATTTATTCCTGCTCCAATTAAACCTATTATAAAAAATTAGGAAATTAAAAGTTGAGTTTACTATGGATTAATGAATATCCTGACTAATAATAATCTATAAACATCAATGTAAATAATTAAAATTCACAAATACATAATTAATTTAATCTGACTGACTAACTTCAATGATCAAGTATGTCAAATTAATATTGTTATTCTATTTGTCTTTTTCCATAAAGCAGACACAATAAATACTTTTACAGCAATCATTTTATAAAACAAAACATTATTTGGCTTAAGAAGCTTTCTTCAGGTTTAACTGCTGAAATTGAATAGAGATTATATTTCAGCAATAGAAAACAATATTTATGGTGTCTGCTTTATGGTGATTCATCTCAGATCCAACTTGGACATTGTTATTACTATTTATGTTTTACTATAAAATTAATCAAAAATTATAACCAGGGCTGTGGAGTCGCATAAAAATCTACCGACTCCAACTAAAACACCAAAACTCAGCCCTGATTATAACATTAATATAATACAATTTTAATTCTGAATATGGTTTAGTAACTTTATTAGTCAAATTATATAATCAAAAATATATGCTAATCAAATAATTTTGGCCCTATAAACCTATTGTCCAGTGTTGGTAATATATACACTGCACGAATGTTTATGGGCTCCTCCTGAGTCCTGCTTCAGGTGAATCACGTTGTTTCGTTGATAGAACACAATTACACAAAAATAAAAATTCGAATGCCCATTAAAAAATAAACAAAATCCAATGTTCACTAAAAATCAAACTAATTTAAAAAATGGAGCACATTAGAGTGCTTTCTTTAACAGTACAAACAAGCTTGGTCAAGCTGATCTGATAGCACGCTCCACAAAAGCGAATCAAATATTAATTTTGTTTAAATTTTATAAATTCTTGGAATCAAGTAGTTGTTGCACCTGTGTGTGGATATGCACAATAAATGGATTGAACAGTACATAACACTTAGGCAACAAAAGTGAAGTCATTGCACATGCACATCTGACATTTTAGCACATTTTAGCAGAAAGGGGATGAAGACTCGGAACTACCCATGGGTATTGCCCAAGGGTGAAGATTAAAGAAAAGTAGTAGTAGAGTAGAGATGAAGGTGAAATAAAAGTGAGATAGGAAAGATGGTGAAAGGGGAGATTCATGGCGTCCGCGTTGGCTTTTATTTTCAAAATAAAAAGTGTAGTTTTTACAAAATCATGCACATCTGACAAACAGATAAAAGTCCTAACATAAGCACTTTACCACTATAGTGGAGAATGCTAAAAACAGAATAAAACACCGTCTGTCAGTATGGGCATGCACAAGAGGTCCTACAACAACTAACAAACAGCAGCTCAGGTTTGTCCAGGGCCTGCCAAGCTGGACATATACAGTGGTACCTCAAGATACGAACGCCCCAGCATATGAAATTTTCAGGATACGACATGAAATTTGAACATATTTTTGCTCCACGATACGAACAAAAACTCACCATACGACGTTACATTAGTTCGCAGCGCCAATTTTTATTCACTTCTGTTCATTGGTCTCAGTCCGCGTTTGCTTCGTCGTGGAAGGATCTCGATAAAGGAAATCTTCAGGTATTATCAGAAAGTGACTGATTTTATTGAAAATAAACATCCC